AATGTACAGCTTTTGGGATATTTGTAAGCCATTTGGAGGATTTATTGAAAAAATTATAACACTTTCTTTTTTCATTTTTCATTAAAATAATAATATAACAACACTTACATAATCTGAGAAATATAGAAAATATACATAAATTTGTAATACTTTATTTAATTTGTGAATTTTTTGTATAGATGTATATGTTTTTACATAATTGTAATAAAAGTATAGGAACCCTGGTGGCACAATGGTTAAGTGCTCAGCTACCAACCGAAAGGTTGGCAGTTCAGACCTATCCAGTGGCTCCATGGGAGAAAGACCTGGTCATCTGCTCCTGTAAAGATTACAGCCTAGAAAACCCTATGGGGCAGTTCTACTCTGTTACATGCAGTCACTGTGAGTTAGAATCGACTCAATGGCACACAACAACAACAATAAAAGAATACATAAATTATGTATCCTGATTTAACTTAAGATATTATCAGAAACATTTTGGTATAAAAAGATGTCCCCAGATATTTTATGGCAAGTCTGTAATTTTGGAAGCAAACTATTTCTTATTCCAATGCATTACTTGCCTGGTTAGCTCAGATGATTGGATCATGGTACAATACTAATAAAGGTTATGGTTTCAATTTCTGGGTAGATCAGTTAGCTATAATCTCTTTCATGGCCACATCAAAGGAATGAATGACTTAGAATGTAGATGCATTAGTGTGAATTCATCACCTCTGCTGGAAAAACCACCCATAGCACAATCCTTATGTTATTAATGTCAGGATGAAAAGAAACAAGGTGGAGGAAAATCTTGACCCTCCAAATACCAAAACTGAATTCTATATAGCTTTCATTTCCATAATAGAAGATAATGACCTGCTTTTCTTTTTATAGTTGCAGTTGAGGGGCTCCAGCTGATCACCTGCCTGAAATTATTACAAGCCTGGTGGGAAGCATTTGGGGGAGGCATAGTCACGTTTCCATTTCACTAGGAAATCATTTAGCAAATTACTGCTCTTCTGTAAATTACTGTGCTGAATAACTTTCATACTGGGAAACTATTTCCTTTTACATAAAAATTTCAGAGGAAAAAATTCTACAGTAAATAACCTATATTTAAAACACACCAATTCCAAGAATTTAGCCATTTCTTGGGTGGAATTAAAAATAAATACATTTTTATTGGTATTATTAAAAAATGACATATTCTCTGATAAAATCAGTTTTTCATTTATTGTTTGTTCACTCTGGTACCCTTTGAGGTGACTGTACAGAGGCTTCCCAGGGCGAAATAACAACCTGCAAAACTATTTTTTGAAGGGAAAAGATCTAAATTTGATATCAGAGATCTATAAGCCTACATTTATATTTAGAAGAGTGCCTCACCATTAGTAATCAATCTATACAGGGTGTTGAGAGCAAGCCGTTTTTATTATGCCAAGTTCTGTTTAGGATGTCAGTCTGAAAAGAATTAACTCCATTCTTTTAATTCTGTGTTGAGGTGGTAGGACCATAAATAATCTGGAGGAAATACGGACTTATCCCCACAACCAGTAGGACTGAGAGTCACACTCCAAATATGATGACCACTGCTGATGTGGCAAGAAGCAGACAAAAGGACTAAATTATTGGCCTTTTCAAGAAACACTTAGATAAGAGAACACTCGTCATTTCATTCCAGTGGCAAGAAGATAGAAAAGTAGTGACAGGGGAGAAAGCAATTCCTTAGAGTATCAGGCCCCATTTCAGTGCTGCCTTTTTATAGAAGAAGGGCTTAGGGAAAAAAAAAAAAAAAGTGAATGACTTTTGATGGTTACCAGGGATGAGAGGGAAAGGGAGGGGGAATCACTTTCCAGAGAGTGGACACTACTTTTGGTGATAGGTAAGGCAATCCCAAATATGAGTGAAGTCAGCACAACTTGACCAAGGTAAATAAAGACACTAAGAAGTACATGAGAAAAAGGCACAATTTTGGTAAATGCTGTAAAATATACAATTTTGCAACAACAGTAAAAAGAACCAAAAAATATGTGTGTGGTTACATAGGTAGATATGGATGCATGTATGTGTACAGGAAGGTATATGCAAGTAAATGCATGTGCATGTATAAGAGTATCTGTAGGCATATGTATACTACACGTTTGTGTGTGCTGCATATATATCTACACATATAACAAACCATATAGGGGGCACAGTTATAGAGGCTTCCTAGACATATCCAGACAACTCACAGAATTGGTTTACTGAGTCAAAAGGCTTGGGACCCTAGTCTCAGGGGACAGCTTAGTCAATTGGCATAACATAGTTCACAAAGATAATGTTTTACATCCTAGTTTGGTGAGTAACATCTGGGGTCTTAAAAGCTTGTGAGTGGCCACCTAAGATACAACTATTGGTCTTTACTTGTATGGAGCAAAAGAGGATGAATGAAATCAAAGTCTCAAAGAAGAAACTAGTCCACAGGACTAATAGCCTGCAAGAACCACAACCTCTCCTAACCTGAGACCAGAAGAACTAACTAGGTGGTGTCCAGCTACCGCTGCTGACTTTTCTGACCAGGGACACAACAGACGGTCCCAGATAGAATGGAGAAAAATGTAGAACAAAACTCAAATTCCTAAAAAAGGCCAGACCTACTGGACTGATAGAGACTAGAGGAACCCCCAAGACTATCGCCCTAAGATACCCTTTGAACTTGGAATTGAAGCTATTTCTGCAGGTCACCTTTCAACCAAATAATAGATTAGCTTATAAAATAGACAATATCACCCGTGAGTAATATGCTCTCTTAAACAATTAACTGCACGAGACCAAACGGTCAACAGTTACCTGAAAAGATGAGAAGGCAAGGGGGGGAAGAGAATTTAAATCAATGGAAACAGAACAAACAGAATCGAAATAATGAGTATGCTGACACATTGTAAAAAATGTAACCAATGTCACAGAGCAATTTGCATAAAAATTGTTAAATGGGAACCTAATTTACTATGTAAACTTGCACCTAGAACACAATAAAATATTATTTAAAAAAAGTGAATGACAGATGCTCACTAAGTAAGCCTCTCCAAACCTAAAGATGGTTATGACTGATAAACATAAAACACTTCATAGCTAAAATCTAAAAATAACAATGAAAATAGTTGCATATTAAAATTAAAGCCCTTTATACCTAGTAGTGGACTCTTTGGGTGGTGCAAACTGTTAATGCACCTGGCTACTCACCAAAAGGTTGAAGGTTTTCAAGTGCACCCAGAAGCACCTTGGAGATCTACTTATGAAAAATCAGCCACTGATAACCCTATGAAGCATAGTTCTACTCTGACACACAGAGTCGACTCGGCAGCAACTGATGACTGGTTATACCTAGTATTAGTTGTAACATCACTAGAGCTAATATTAGAGTTCATAGTTAAACAAAGTTGTGGCAAAGGCAGAGAAGATTCAGAAGAATGACATAAACATGGTTTCATTGTTGCAAATAACAGCCTTGAGGAAAGGTTAAAAGAACTATTATGATTCATTCTGAAGATGAGTAGATAAACGATTTTTATCATTTTCTTCCAGTCTTTCTCCAGCAGTGTTTCTTATCTAAATAACAGAATGCAGAAAATGATTTGAGTTACTGTTTTCTCAATTCTCCCATGAATGCTACATAACTAGTGCTATTCTAGTTACATTGAAAAGACGCTAATTCATTACATACAGGGATGCACTAGGGTACCAGGGCTTAATTCTCTCCTGTACTGTAGGATGAGAACAACTGGATACACAGTGGGCCATAAACTAATACTGGCAAGTTATCTGGAGCCTAGAGAACACATTTAAAAAGCAGGATACGTGTAGGCAACATAAAGGGTGGATTTCTTAAAGACAAATTACTTGGCATTGTAATAGTTTGAGAAAAATCACACAATTTCCTTCTTCCAAGTTGGGCTTTATTTTCTTCTCACCGAATGGCATGAAGTGCATGGCGTCTGAAGGCACAGGTTTTGCCCCGCCCTGAAATGCAGGTGCTTGGTTCTTCCAATGTGGTGCTGTTCAAATGTTGAAAATGGGGATGTCCCAAGGTTATAGAAAGGGAAAGAGGAAGATATGCTAATACAGCTGAGACATGTCAGGGAAGGCATAGGAAGAAACGTCACATTGACAAAGAGAAAGCTGAGGCTAAAGGATTCTTGAAAAGAGTAAGGCCTTAACTATAAGGCTGCTTAGGTTTTTGGAAATACTTTCTGTTTCTTCTCTAATATTTTTTTTCTAAAAGATAGTGCTTGCTGAATCTAGAATACTGCTTTGATGACACAGAATTTTCTATCTGAATATAACTGATTGTTAGTCAGAACTACAGACGAAGATGTGGAAGACAAACTAAATATTTATGAGGTAGATTCAATGAAAGTTTTGGTGTTTTCCTCTCTAAAGTCAACCTGGTTTCTTATGGCTTTTTTTCTGATCAATGCAAACATAGGAAAATTCTAGACACTTAAAGTTTTATTAGTTAAATCCAGGTAATTGGAGTTCTACTGTACATTGTTGCCCAGAGTGATCTTTTATTCATTACTCCACATTAGCATATTCTGGAATTGTTCGCAAAGCTTACTATATTGACTTGGATTGTACATTTAAACTACAAATGACTTTTTCTAATGATACTTTAAGGAGTATTTGGACAAGGCATCAGTCATACTGTGGATACAATCTGCTTTCTTTGGCAACTTATTATTAATGTAAACTGAGAGCCCATATTGATCTTCATTTATGCAGGCAGTTCACATGAATTCCATGAAACTGCAAGTGAGCAAGTAAGGGCAAACCCTGTCTTCTAATAAAACAGTAGCTTGAATATTTGAGTGTAAATATCTCTTTTATAATAAACAAATATATTTTTCACTTGCAGACATTTCAATTGTAATGAAGTCAGGTTGGAACACTTAAAATACTATAGCGTTTGAACTTGAGTGAGTGCATGAATAAAACTTGTTTCTGTTTTATCTAATTCCTGCCCTCTTTTCCATTTACAGCTATTCAAGAGCAAGAAAATGAACCTGTGTCCCTATCCTCAAGCCCAAACATCTCCTTAAATAAGTCACAGTTAGATGACTGCCCAAGGGACTCTGGTTGTTATACCTCATCAGAAAATTCAGATAATGGCAAAGAAGACGTGGAGTCTAAAAATCTGCCTAACATGATACAAAAGATGACTATCACAGAGCCTAGCGACTGAACGCCCATTCTCCACTATAGATTCTCCACTATAGATCTACAGATGGTTTTTAACTTTTTGAGCTGAAAGATCAATTAAGACAGGAATATTTATAAATACAACCCAAAGTTAACATGCTTTAGTCTGAATGATTGTACATGAAAGTTTATATTGCTTACGTTTCCAGTCATTGTAAATAACATGTATATTATTTTGAATGTTCAGTGTAAATATCTCACTTGCCTGTATTAGAAAAGATATAGTGTAAGTGTTCTGGTAGGAGTGAAATGCTTTATTTACATTATTTTACAAGTGCAAAACAATAAAATCTGCAAAAAAACCTTACCTTTCTCGTATCTTCCAGTTTTGAATTTGTGTCTATTATTGAATAAATAGAAATACAGCACGTCTCTGTTTAATCAATTTGTCCAAGCAGTATCTACACTCATTTTTATATTTACTGTCGAAGCGTGAGTTAATATTGGAGACATTTTATCCTGATCCACGGTAGAGTTTTTATAATTATTATTATTGATTTCCTTATTCTATCTTCTAGTATAAAATATAGATAACTATCTATTGTCAATCCGATTTAGTAAAACTAATTTTAATAGTTGTACACGTTTTGTCTTTAAGTGTAAATATTTTTAATTTTGAAATACCCTAATTTTAATAATTAAAAAATCTATGTGCATATTGGAGCCCTGGTGGCACAGTGATTAAGAGCTACTGCTGTTAACCAAAAGGTTGACAGTTCAAATCCAACAGCTGCTGTTTGGAAACCCTATGGGAGCAGTTCTACTGTGTTCCATAGGGTTGCTATGAATCAGAATCGACTTGATGGCAATTTTTTTTTTGTTTGTTTTGTGTGCATATTGTATTTTCCAGACTAGAGCTATTTAAGGTACTTTAACATTAAATCTTTAGAGAAACTATCTTGTACCTGACAAGGTTTTATGCTCAGTCCTCACTTTTTTTAAAAATTTTTTTGGGATTCCCGCACTGATTATCTTAGCCTCAGTCTATCTCGTGCACCTCAGATCTGTGGTATCCACCTTCCTGAATATCCCCAGGAATCAATAACTCAGTATGGCCAAATCCTTGATTTTCTCTCCAAATTCATCTCTCCTTTTTCAGTCCCAATCTGTCTCTTTAACCTAGCCAGTCACCCAAAGAAGGAAATCATTTCTCACTCTATCTCACAGCTATCCTCCTCATAAAGAGTCCATAAGTAATCAAGTCCTATGGATTCTACTTCTAGAAAAGCTTTCATAGTCATCGCTTTATCTATATTTCCATAGTCACTGTCTTGCTATAGAACCTGATGGTCTCAGGTTTGGACTATCGTAATTTTTTTCCAATTTACCTCTGTTCTCCCAGTGCCTTACCTTGTAATCCATCCTCCACAGAGCCTCCAGAAAGATCTTTCTAACCTACAAATCATGTACGTCCTGTCTTAAAATATTCTGATGGATCCTCATTGTCTTTAGTGTAATATTTAATCTTTCTTCCAGGGTGTGTAACGTCCTTCACAACCATTTTTAAATCTACCGTATGAGTTGTATCTTTCATCTCCAACCCCTCACCCTACATGCCAACCGTAATACTCTACTTGCAATTCCTTGAAGTCACCGTGGAATCTGTGAGTTTTCACATGCTATTTATTTTCTGCAATTACTCCCACTATTTCCTACAACATTGGTCTCCCTCTCCTCTCTGTCTTGAGACTCATCACAAAAGTTGCTTAACTTTTTAATCATGTGTAGCCTTCCATGATTCTCTTTGGTGTTCTCTTCTTTGCACTTCCACATCATCTTGTAAGTATCTCTGTTGGTCACAGCAGTTATCATTTTATACTTTATTTATATGACAATTATCCTTCCATTAGAGTGTGACCTCCTTGTGATAGAGATTGTTTTATCTTTTTTAAATACCCTGTACCTAATGTAATACCTGCAACAGAGTGGGCATTTAGGAAATGTTTATTAGAGTGCATTGAAAATAATGATTATTCATATATAATAGACTCCATGTTTATATTTAAATCTACTCAAACCTATAAATAAATATCTTCCAAAGCCAACTAGAATTTTTTGAAACACATAAAACATATTACCTTAGGAAAAATCAGGAACTAAAAAATGTTATTTCCAATGCTGGGAGTCAGCATTGCACTGGTGATTTCTAGTATATTTTTCCAGATCTATGAAATTTAATTCCATATGCAGTACCTACATCATGCGTAAAGCGCATGCCTACGTCTATTCTCCCTTCTCCAGTGGGAAAATGGTTTTTCAGTCTCTAAAGACCAAAATGCTGCTTCCATCCTGGTCCCTCTACTGCTATGGCTACCACTCCAAACAGATTATTTAAGGAACTCCTTGGACACGGCACAGTGACTGAGTATAGTTTTTAAACTTTAATCAACTTGTTTCCTCAGGGAGGTGAAGAGAGTACAGCTTCTTTCTGGAGATTCCAGGAAACCATAGGTTGGGAAGCATCTAAGGAACAATTTGACTATAAAATGGTGAAAATCACCTGTGAAGCTTACTCAGACACAAATTCAGTCCTTCAGAATGAACTTTGGTACCCAGTCAAGGATTTAGGGAAATGCTTTTAAGTAGAAGTGCTGCAGAGACCTTGAGGGCATTGAAGCAGAGGAAGAGAGAGTCCCTGCAAAGGGGGAAGGAGGGAAGGAAGTGGAGACACCATGAGTACAAGTTGCAGGGCAGATGAGCCCATGGCGGGAGCATAGCACTGAAAAGGACAGATGTGCAGCTAAAGTATAAACCATGTTAAGTGAGCACTGCTGTCTTCACCTGACCAATTGGATCCCTGCCACTCTAACCTCATCTTCCTAAATGAGGGGAAGGTAAAATCAGTAGAAGGAAGATAGGCTTTTTCTCTTGACCATGAAAAGCTGGAGAAAGAGGAGTAGAAAGGTAAGAAATAGATCAGCAAGGTTGTGGGGGAGATGAGGGACTTGGACGTCCTGTTGCCTTTGGCTGGGAGAGAGACATGAGCTTGAGCCTATGAAGAGTGAATGTGAGAGCTGCTAGAAGGCTGATATTTGAATGTTTATAGGATGATCACACTAGCACTGTGTTTCTAGTTTGGAAACTGGTGAGAATGAGCTATAATTCCTAGTATCATTTATTTATTTATTCACTCAACACCATTTAGACATAGAACACATACGCTGCCCAAGTTTATGCCAATAAAGACCCTTCGGGCCACACCCTCCTCATTGAAACAAATGAAGTCTTTTAGTATATATACAATTGTGAAACTTTTCTGGGATGAAATGATTATTCTGATGCCAGAAATTTTATACATCTGCAGTTTGAAGTATGTTGTGACAGTATGTATGATTAGGGGAATTGTATTCCAGGGAAATGGATAAAATCCTCATTAATAGTTTTTTTGTTTTTATTTTTGATAAAATACAAAATTCTGATCATTTTAATTCATGGTTTTCCCTCACTAAATTGCTGACATAAACATCACTGTATCTTCATCCTGAAATCTTTTATCAGAAGCATTTTAAAAAAAATCAATTAAATTGTCAAGGGGGTTAGTTAAGAAATAAAACAACTTTTAAAACCTTTAAAATGACAGGCAACAAAATATGATCAGGTTTTAGACAACATCCAATTCACTGAGGTTACAGTCAAGTGCCTTGCAACTTCCTGAGTGAGGTCAAATTGATGACATTTCATGTTGAGAAACTTCCGGTACAAGCATAAGTTCTGAGAAAAATATTATGAAGAAATTTTAGATACTCCATCTCTCCTCCCCACACACACGCACATCCATCCCTGCACCACCAACAAAGAAAATTGTATAAATAATCAGCATGCAGATTTCAAGTACTCCTTCATAAAATAGGAAGTCATGCTAAAGTTATATAAAAGTTGAGAGCAAAATAAATAGGGACTAAATATAGATAAAAGAATGGCAGCTTCTAAATTTGACCAGAATTTTTCATTATAGAAATAAGAAAGAAGTAGCTGCCTCTTATTTTACCACTGAGTTCATCTGATCATACCCAACATTGACCTAAACCCATAGACTGGAGGTTCTGGAGGTGAACCATCTGTTTTGATAACTGGGTGATGTTTGGCAAGTCACTTATGCTGCAAGCATAGGTTTCTTTATCTACAAAATGTAAATAATAATAGTACTAATCCTTCATATTACTGTCAATTAAATGAGATACAGCACAATACATGTAGTATGTGCATAAAATTACTATCATTATTATATCAACTAATTCCCCTTTATCCACTGATTTCTAAACATAAAATGCAAGCAGCACACATGCCATTTTGATCCAGGCTTGCATTTGTAAGAATTTGAAATTCTTAAGACACAAACTGAGGGCAAGGACACCTGTGTTATCCAAAAGCAATGAGAGAGAATCAACTAGTCTAACAGAACTTCTCAGATAAATGACCATTTCACCATGACAGAATATTTGTTTACTCCTGACCAGTTTAAGAGGCTGTTCGTATTTTGCTATGATTCCTCACCCCTGGATCATTGCAGGGGTTATCATTTTTGAAGAATGAACGATTGAATGTGTAAATGAATGTCTACATTAATGAATAAATAAAAGATTTAAGGTTATTACTGGGCCTTGGTCTCTTACAAATCATGGAGTCACAGTTGATTATGCTGTAGGCAACAGAGAAGTCCTTAGGAAAAAGCCCTAAATGTAGATATTTACATATTTACAAAAGCTATGGGTATTTAGGCAAATCATCTGCCATGGGAAACCCAAGTGCCCAGAGAAGCTGAGAGGCCTGAGAGGCTACCAAGAAAATGTGATATGAGCTTTTCATTACTCTCCCCCTTCCCTTCTTGATCATCCAAACTTCTCCTATTTAAATTACAACAGAGTTTCAGTATGTCAATATTATATTATAAATTAAGAAGCCATGAGGGCAGAATCTAAAAAATGACATTAGGACGTTCAGTGACCTTTTTTGACCTTCTAGGGTCCCTGGCAGGCCTGAGTGTAGAGCACCATTCCCTAGTAGGGAAAAGGTGAGTTCTGATGCAAAAGGCTTGTGGGATAATTTCCTCTCCAAGTTCTTGGGCACTGGGCCAAGGGAATGGGCAGGAATCATTCCATTTGCAGAGTAAAATGGGGTGAAAAGCACTTCTGGCACACTTTGTCCATATAAATTATACTTGTTTGCAATTCATCAACTCCTTCGCTCCTTTATATCCATATGTAATGTAAATGATTATCTTTCTCTCAAGCTCTATAACGATGCGCAGCCCAAAAATGTGATAGAATCAGCTAAAAGAGAGCAGATGGAAGTTTTTTCCCAATATGC